ATATCAATTAAATTGTAAAATAAAGATTATATAAGTTTCTACAAAGTTCATTAATATTATAGTTATTAATCTAAATTCTAAAATAACTATAACTGTAACTGTAAACAACTATTAAAAGATGATAGTTACTATACGGTAATATCTTAATACTATCGCAAATACTATCTTTATATATGTATTTTGGCAACTTATGTCATCCCGAAAGAAAGAAATTTTATGTTCCTACTATTCTATATTTTGATACATATGATTTTGTGTGTGCTTATCTGTGTTGTAAACGTTAGACTAAATATATATCTAGAGATATAAACATCTATTCTTAATCACTCTTATCTTGAATATTATGTGTAATATTATTCTGATCATGTCCCTATTTTTATAAATTCTCAATTTTGATACATAGTATACATTATATACAAATAAAAATTTAACAAAGAGAAAATATATTTTTTTTAATAGACGAATAAAATGAAATACAATAAGAAGTAATTTTATTAGAAAAATAATAAAAGATGTTATGAAAATTGTCTAGTCTAATTCTAATTTTAATGTTCTCTACAGAATTATATCATATAACTAAAAGATTATACATTCGCAATTTTATTGAAATTAATATTATTTAATTTAACAATAAATTCTTCACATGTAAGATTGAAAAATAATAATATAATTTATATGATTTATTTATAACAAAATTCTTAAGAATGAGTTGTTCCACTTTTTGATATATCTCCGCTTTTGATATATATGTCTCACTTTTTCGTGTTCTCTCTTTTTCTTATTCACAATTATCATTAGATAAATTTATTAATAAGAAAGTGGAACAATCGGCTCATAAGAACTTTAATGCCTAAACAGTCTTAAAATGTATTAATTTAAAAATATGTATTAATTAAAAATATGTATTAATTTAAAATCTCAATATTAGACTTCTATATTATAATTTTCATAATTACTCACAATTATTGATTTTTTTAATAATTGCTATGAACTACAAAGAGTCAGCTGTCAAACAGCAAATACTCTAACTAAATCATGTACAATTAAAAAAACTTATAGAAAGAGAGAATTTTTTCTATTACATTTAGAAATAGAAAATGTTGAGACAAAATCTCTTGAGTACTTATTGTTTTATGTCTTTGTTTGTATAAAGACAGTTTGTATAAAGTTTGTATAAAGACAGTAAAGAATATTGTTTATATAATTTTGGTTAAAGAGCAAGATAAACAGATCAAGTAAAAAAATTTTAAAGTTTCATTATTATTAAATTTAAATGTCTGTTCATTCTACTTATTACTATTTTTACTCTACGAAAAAGTACATTTAAAAACGAATTAATAAACATTATTAATTAAATGTATATTAATATATTTGTGTATAATACACATATACATACATACATATACACATATTGAAAAATCTCAGGAAAAATAAAAGATTTTCTTTTTAAATATTTATTATTTAATTTATTACAGTTTATTATTTATTATTAATTATTACTAATCATTTTGTATTATTTGTCTGATAAAATCCGTAAAATTAGTTACCCTAGTAAAAACATCAGGAAAACCAAGTGCGCACGGTTTTGTCCATGAAAATATACCTATTAATGTGCCATTATATACCAAAGGACTACCACTATCACCCTGCAAATAATATTTTCTTTTAATCTATTTTTTAATGAAAAATTAATGTTTGAATTTAAAGTACATGTAATTATGAATTTATCTTTCCATTTAAAAATTTATTTATAAAATTAATGAATTGATCAGAATGAAATGCTAAAAGATCAAATTTATGAAATTATGTATTCTTAACAAAGTTTTTTCAATGTTTAATCTAAAAAATTGCAATTTTATTTAAATTTAGCGCATTATAAATATTAGTTTCTTGTAAAATTTCTATATGACAAAAATATGTATCACCATTATTTGAATTTTTCTATGTGACAAAAGTAAAGAAGACAAAAAGATTTCAAAAATGTGTCAAATAAATTTCAATACAAAATTTCAATACAAAAATTTCTATACATATCCTACATACATTAATTATATATATTCTTTAATTACTGATCACTAATCACTAATTGCGCAATATGATTAATTAAATTCGATCTTATAAACATCGAATTTTTAATATTCTTTTCATGCAAGTTTTAAGACGCAACAATAGCAAATGTAACATATATTTTTTTTTTAATATTTACCTTACAAGCACCGATACCTTTTCTTTCAAATGTACAAATTTGGGAACTAAGAATAATAGTGTTTTTGTAATAGGCCTGGCATGCATTATTATCAATAATTGGTACTGAAAGTTTTTGCAAGTTTCGAGATAACCAACTAAATGGATGAACACGACCCCATCCACTAATAATAGCGTATTGTCCAGGAGGTGCATCACAAACTGCCAAAGCAATTGGCGATTGAGAAGGTGAGAAGTGAATTTTTTTAGTAAGCTGAAAGTACATTAACATATTACAAATGTCACAAAATTTTGTATTAATTCTAAAAAAAAATGTATACAAGAGAAAATACAAATTACATTTTGCTAAATGTATTCTATTATATATGACACAACAATAAAGCGCATTCTATATCACTAAATAAATTTAAGCATAATAATTAAACAATACTAAAAATACAGTCAATTAAAAATTAAGAATTAATATTTAATTAATTTTTTATAAACTAAAATCAAATATAAATAAAAAATTTAAATATTTTTAATTAATATTTGATTTTAGTTTATAAAAAAATAGATAAGCAAGTCTCACCGTGATTACAACTAAATCGGCTATCCAAGACTCTTCAGAGCCATATATATAATCAGGATGACAGGTGACATTTTTAACAATATGTATTTCGCCCTCTTTGATATTAATACTTCCAGTGCGTACACTGAGTTCTTCGAAAGGATCATCTATCAAGCCACATATACAATGCGCCGCACTCAGAATATGCTTATCGCTGATAAGTACACCACTACAAATATGTAAGTCGTAATATCTTAAGGATACCTGATAAGGAAATTCAAATTTGGTGGCGTCCTTTCCACCAACTAGGCGTCGTACACGAAGTGCTTGAGTCCCTTTTCCAGAAATAATGTACATATACATGATAAGCCGTTTTACTTTTTAATAAACAATATATGACTAATATAAAACTCTCAAAAGTAATTATTTAAAGAAGAATTACAATTCGTATTAATAAATTAAAATTAATAATATCGCGATAAATTCAATAAATTAAAATTATATCTCGCTATATAATAATTCCAAATTTTTATAAAGTCCCAACATAATTTTCAAATTAAACAAATTTTTATTATGTCTCGACACAATTTTAAACTAATCGGATATCTTCACTTACCGCAATTGATATGTAATGTTAAAATAATTACCAAATATATAACGGTAAAATTCACCATCATTATTTACAGAACTGTAAGAAAATAAAAAGATTTGCTAAGAAAGAACGTCTATGCGACTTCAAAAAGTGTATGTTTTTATGATTCCTTTAATCTTAATTTATTTAATTTTTTAAAGTTTCCCTGATACAATAAATAAATTATAGAATAACATACATAATATTATATTAATATCAATGTTAATAATTCTAATCAATAGTTAATACTCTTATCTTTCTTAAAATCTTTAAGAAAAAACAAGATTATTAATAGATATCTTTAATAAATTAATCAATATTATCATTACTTTATTTATATTAAAATAGATTCTGGTTATTTAATTTTTACAATATTACTTAATATTTAAACTATACTGTATATTGTGTGTTTTAATTTAATTCATTATATGCTATATATATAATAAATATGAGTAAATTATAATTATTACAAAACATTAGATGTGAATTTACACATTTGATATCTTTTATTTACCTATTATAAAATTCTGAATTAGTCTTATAAATCGAATTATGAAATTCTGAATTAGTCTTATAAATCGAATTATGAAATTCTGAATTAGTCTTATAAATCGATTATTATAAATCTTGCATGTTTCAACTTCATTGAACATAACATGCTTACTCACGCTAGTAATCTAACATGTATTATATAATGATCTATAATGATTTATATCCTGACTCATTTTAGAAACAGGAAAATTTTATTAGAAAAAAACATTCATTATCTATTTCATTCAGAATATAACTTCAAAACTACTATAAAAATACTATAAAACTACTACAAAAATAATTTTATATATATAAAATGCCATGTATAAATAAATTTTCGAAAAATATAATTTGGATTATTTTGATCATTTTAGAAATAAATTATTTATTTAAGCAATTATTAAACGCAATAAAATTTTTGTAAACTTTGTAACTTTATTTGATTTAAGAACTACTAATTAAGAGTAATGCATGAATAATGCAACATTCATATAGATAAAATCTTATTAGTTGGTCATTAGCATG